GTTGTTCTTTGTCTCAGATAAAGCTCCTGTGTTACCAGGATTATTGGAGCTGACATCTCCCGGGTGGGTCTGGACCACGGGGACCAGCTGGAGACACAACCTTGACTCTTCTGAGTCAGTGCAGCTGCCAATAGCTGGAAAGCTTCTGCCCAGTCAAAACGCCCCACTCCCTGATGCACTGGCTCCCCTGAGCCCAGGGCTCCTCATGGTTGTTGAGGAAAATGGAGGACCGCTCACAGGGAGGGGAGGAGAAGCAGCTAAAATGGATCTACTGGGGCTCCCAAAGAGGGAGAAATTTGCAGGACCGCCCAGAGGATTCAGGGGGTCTGGGTCCTTCTGCTCTGGGTCTTCGGGGCACTTTGGCGGCGGGTCCCGGAGCAAGTGAAGGACCCGCTGCCGAAGACCCAGAACGGAAGAAGCCCTCACCGCCGAATTGCTGCCGCTCCGGGTCTTCAGCAGCGGGTCCTTCAGTCGCTCTGGGTGTGTTCGGCGGCACTGAAGGACCTGCCGCTGAAGACCCGCCGAAAACTCTCGTGGGGGCCCCTGAAAACTCTCGTGGGGGCCCCTGCGGGGCCTGGGGCAAGTTGCCCCACTTGCCTCCCCCCCAAGCAGCCTTGGAATTTGCACTTTGGGGCAGTGGGGGAAGAAGCTTAAATGGTTTATTTTGGCAATATCCATAACTGAGCTAGAGGCACTGAGGGAAGGAGTGAGGAATGGGTGCATGGTGGGGGCTCCCCTTAAAGGGCACCCTGAGAGCTCCTTGAGACTCAGCTTAGGACTGTCTACCCAGCCCTTGCTTTGTGAGCCCAAGAGCCACGCAACCATGGGTTAAATTGGAATTATCCCCCTTTTACAGATGGGAAGACTGAGGCACAGACAGGGGAAGGGATTTGCCCAATGCCACACAGTGCAGCAGCGCTATAGCTAACCGAGCTAACTGCCTCCCTAAGCAAAATGTTCGGGTGCATTATGGGTGCTTGGGAGGGGCGGTCTCCTTCCTTGCTGGGCCATTGGTCTGAGCGGCTCTGGCTGCCTCTTTGCGTGTCTGCCCACAAGGAGGGGGAAGAAATACAGAACGTATCGGACGGACAGCAGCGGCGTTGTCTCTGAACAGGATGCTTTTGAACAAGCTCCCAGGAGGCACCTGACTCTCTTTAAATTCAGTGTTTGTGGGGGGACAGGGGCCGTCACAAAGTGCACTGAAAACGCCCCACTGATTCACCAGGTCCCGGAGCGCCAGAGGCAAGAGAAGGCCTGATTGTCTGGTGGCGAGCGGGCTGGCGCCGTGGCCCCGCTGCCTGGATGGCCAGAGGCAGAGCTCGCACAGCAGCCCCTGCAGTGTTTTTCCAGGGAACACGAGGCCTGGGGTGAGCCAGCTAAGGACAAGCAGGGGCTCTGTAACTTTCTCCCAGTAACAAGGTGCCTTTTCTTCTCCTCCTCCTCCCGCAGCCTCCATCTACAAACGCAGATTACACAAGAGGAGCCCAAGGAATCGGTCGAGAACCAATGGCAGAGCCGCACAGACACCCACCCATTAGAGAGGGGAGCGAGAGATTTTACGGAAATTATATTAGCAGAGGCAGTTTCTTCTTCTTGATGTTGTTGTTGCTTTTTGTCATATAAGGAAAAAAAAATATATTAAAGAAAAAAACCCCACCTTTGTGTATATATATAAAAAACAAACCAACCTCAGCGTACCAAAGCAAAGGGAATTAGATTCCAGCATTTTGACTAGCCGTCCGGTTCCAAATACCTTTGTGCCTTTGGGGAAGGGGTGGGAGGGTTGCAGAGGGCAGGGGGGTTAAGTTAAATAATAAAGAAGATTATTTTTTCCTGATTTTATCCACGAACAATGTAATTATTTCTGTTATTTAATGGCTGGGGCGGATGCCACCTTTGTTTTATTTTAAAGAATCCTTCCGCTGCTGCAGTACGGCGGGGGTGGAGGGGCACTCAGTAGATGGGAAGTGTCGCTGAATGTATGAGGGGCAAGTAAAGTGGGGGAATGGAAGGGAGAGAGTGAGATGGAGGGACGAGGGGGGAGGGAAGCTAAAAATCTGGGCCCAGATGCCTCTTGGTTTTGGCCCCTCCCCTCTCTCCCACCGCTGGTTCCCAGACGCCGAGTCTCCCCATCCCCAGGCCGCATGGCGAAGCAGCTCCCATCCTGTGATGGCGCGCTCTTTCCGGGGGACCGTGCAGGGCACCAGGGTTCCCTGCACCTATTTATATTTTTGAAACATGATGATGATGATAATGATGAGAAATGATAATAAAGAGAGAAAAATTGGAATAGTCTTTTTTTGGGGTGGGAGGGGTAATTTAAATGGCTTAGCCAAAGTCTCCAGGATGCTGGTAGGAGCCTGTGTGTGCGTGTCCTGAATTGCGCTTTTGCTCATGACGAGGGGCGGGGAGATCCAGTCTGGGAGGGGAGCTTTGGGGGTTTGTTCTTGTAAAAAGCAAAAAAAAAACCAAAAAACCTTTTTTTATTATGTCTTGTGCCTAAAATGAGAACCTGACACACGGCAGTGCCTGCTGCTGTCAGCGCTATTGTGAAACCTGGACAATAAAACTGGTTGTATTTTATTCTTCCTGTTACCTGGTGGACTGCGTGTAGGCAGCTGTGTGGTTGTATGCCACTGCACGTTTGCGTGTGTGCTCGTGAAAGGTCTGTTGTGTGAGTCGAGCAGCCCCTCTGTGCCCTACCCACACAGGCTGGCAGTCGGCTGCAGCTTCCTGCTTGAGAGCCTGGCTCTTTAGCTCACGCTGTAGAAGCTGGTGCTTTTAGCTCTGAAGTCCGGTTCAGACCCTGATGTTGGCCATGATGGCATCCATCACACAGGCACCCGGGTGTCTACATCTGTGTGAACACTTTGTGTGCATGTGGATGCGTGTTATCCCTGGGGAGCAGTGTGCACACACAGTTGGGTGGGCAGGGGTCTCCTCCCCAGGTGAATGTGTATATGAGTGGAAGCAACAAATATGCCTTAAAAACCTGAGCGAAAGGTGCCTTCCTGAACAGGCCAGGCAGTGTGCTTGTTAGGGGGAATGCAAATGGGCCTCCCCTAAGCCTTTGAGCCCAAACTGACTGTGACATGGTTTCCTGCTGTTGCTGCTTCTCCAACCCTCTCTGGAAGTCTGTGGTCTCCCATGGAGCAGGAGAGTTTCTAATGCTTAGGGCAGCGAGGTCTAGGATGCAGCACAGCAGGAAGAGGGTTTCTCCGTTTCAGAAGCCCTCCCCTGAATGTCCCATCCCAGCTTTGGAGATGCATCTGCTGCTGAAGCTCGTTATAGCTGTGGGGTCTCTTGCTTGGAAAGGGAGTTCGCTGCTGGGGAAAGGTGCTCAATGGACAGGTGTGGAGAGTGGGGCCTCTCTTTATCCAGCCAACAGGCAATGGCAAATCACACTAGTCCTCCACACACATGCTGCTCCTTGCAGAGGAGGAGCTCTTGGAGATACTAACTCCTCTCTCTATTAGAGAACTGGGTGGGGAGCCTCCTTCTCGTTAGGGGCAGCAGCAGAGGTCTCGGTATCCCCCATCTTCATCCAGACTCACCACAGCAGGTAGGAATCTGGGGGGAAAACCTACATCCTCAGAGCACAGCAGCTGCAGATGAGTTAAAGAGGCACCACCCCAGCTCCATGGCAGTGACAGCTATCTCTTCCCTCTCCCCAACACAACATAGCCTCTCTCTAGTGGAGGCCACCCCTTCCCACATGCCATTGCATAGACCCCACTTTTCCTCCCATATACAATCAGCCGGCCTCTCTTCTTCCCTCTCCTCCCATTCATGATCCTGCAGTCCCCCCCTCCCCACCTGGGTTACCCATGGAGTACATACCTAATACCCCTGCTACCATAGAAAATTAACAGCAGCAAAGTATTCGATGCACTTATAGTTTCTTTTACTACAAGGAGGAGACACATGCCCAGCCAGCTCTCTGCCAGCCACCAGCACATCATCAGTAGGTCATTGTTTGGGAGCCCCCCCACTGCAGTGTCTGAGACCTGCCCAGCCATACCAATTTCCTATCATGAACAAGTTCCCCCATTAACCTCTAAAGAAGATTCAGCAGCCTGGCCAGCTCAACAACACTCAGCATTTCCTACCTGGCCTGGGCAATTCATTAGCCCTAATTAGAGAAACAACTGACGAGACTGCAACTACTGAGAAGCCCAGTTCCTAGGCTTGTGCTGCTGATCTCGTATCCAGAGTGCCAGGACCTTTGGGAGCTCACAGCTGAGACAAACTCTGACCATTTCAGCAGGAGACAGAAGAGACCGAGAGGATTGCTTGGGTAAGTCCAGGGAGCTGCAGCCCCTAATAGAAATGGTATTTTAAGGGCATGGGAAAGCACCTAACTTACCGATATAGGGAGGAACCAGCACTGCGTTGGGTAATTTGTTTGGAAAATCTCCTGGTTGTTTAAAAAATCCAAACCATCAGGGGAAAGGGGACACTGATCTGCTGCCAGGAGAGTTATGGGCCTCTGGCAGACAATGCAGTTAGGAGATGAGCAGGCTTCCAACTTCCCCCTCACTTCATCCCCTGGGAACACCCTTCAGTCCTGCCCTCACAGCTACTTCAGTCCAGGGCTTCCCCCAAACACAACTGCCGATGCGCCTCCACCCGGACCTGCAGCCTTCCACCCTGCTCTTCCGCTCCTGCCTTCCCTTCCCCACAAACTGCCGAGGCACCTTCGTTCTGCCTTCCCCCAGTTCCAGTCCTGCTGCCCCTCCCCCCAGTTCTGCCCTAATCCCCAGCCTACCCCCTGGGCCTGCTATGCCATATGGCTTTGTTCATACACAGCTCTGCTGATGCCCTTCGGTTCTTATCTCCAACACCTCCTGCTCATCCAAGTCCTGGGTGCCCCACTTTGAGCCTAGTACCCCGAGTGCATTCCCTTTCTAAAATTCTTCGCAGAGTGGTGCCCCCAGAGCTGCTGCCGGGGAGAACACAGCAGAAGTTGTCCTACCACCCAGGACACAGTTGCACATCTCTGGGGCTTTCTCCAATGCTTTATTTGAAGAGGTCCAGGAGAATACATCTTTTCACAACAAAACGCACAAAGACCGAGCCCCTGGGATTCAAGTGGTGCCTGGGAGAGGGGCCCATGGAGAACAAGGCAGGTAAACCGGAGAGTTCCACCCAGTACACACATAGTAGCACCTTTCAGTGCCCTTGGAAACCGCCAACCTCAGATTGGAGTCTCAGAGAGTCGAAACACAACCAGATCCTGCAAGGAAGGGAAGGGAGAGAAAGAAGGGACTGGAGGGGGGCGGGCGGGGGAGAGAGGGAGTCTCCCGGGACGCACGAGGTCTAAGCTGTGTTAGCTCTGGGCCTCTATGCTTAGAATTATGCCTAATATCTCTGACCTCATCTGTGCTTCATTGGGAGAGGAAGGGGAAGGACTTCGGTGAGCTGTGAGTCAGTTGTGTGTGGTTGATCATTTGCTCACATTAACTGGGGGATGGGGGAGAGTGACCCGCCTTACTCTAAATTCCGGCTTGCAGTTGATTTGATGCCTTCTGTGCTGGCTGGGATGGGACTGGCTTGGATGGGATGGCAGAGCAGTCTGTGCATTAGAAACAGCTGTTCCCCTTTGGTGCCGGTGAAACTGGAGCACGTCCAGGGGGCATCTGCCTTTGCCATCAACCAATCGCGCGCTCTGTGCTTCTCCGATGCCTGGATGCGTCACTGCTAGGAAATGACTGTCTAGCCCAAGTGGACGTGTGTGAGCCTGTCACTTTTTATCTAGATGACCCTGTGACAAAGGGATGGAGCCACCTGGTAGCAGACACCAAGCTCCCCAACTCGAGATATCATCTCAGTCTCTCTCCACTGTCTGGGTGGAAGGAGATCTGGTGCCCCATTCCCAGCCCAGGAGAGAGACGCAGAGGTGGCAATCGGCTGATTAGTGAGACGCCATGGCCCAGCAACCTGAAGAAGTTTCCCTTTAGTGAAAAAAATGTAAAATTAAAAAAAAAAATTGAAATTAAAAAATACCCCAACACCCCGGAAACCTGATCCTTTAAATCCAGGCAGCACCAGGCAGGGAAGTGTCCACTGGCAAAGAGGGAGGCCCCTCCCCATTCCTTAGTTCAGCTTGTAGCAATACACCCCAAACTTGCCCTTGTCGGGAAAGCCGAAACTCCGGACCCCCGGCTCTGGTGGGCCGCAGTTGGGCCGGGGGAAGGCAATGGGGTAGCGGATGCTGCCGTCTGCCAGCCAGCCAGCATCGCAGCGATCCAGGCTGAAGAACTTCCACGCCGCATAGAGCTGCCCCACCTTGGCAATTTCAGCCCTGTCATCCTGGCAGGCCTGCTTGGCCTCTTCCAACGTCAGCTTCTCCGGGTGAACCAGGTAGTAAACTTTCCCTGGAGGGGAGAGGCAGAGGGGGTGGTCACTGGGAGCCGGAGGGACACTGAGCATGGCCGGCCCTGCACAAAAACCCCTCACTCACAGGAGGTGCTAGGAATGGGGGTTCACCCCATGTCTGCCTGGATTCAACATAAGTTAGGGAATTCAGAAACAACAGGCCATGTTCTCCCTGCCCCCCCGCCATAGGAATGGGGAAGGGGCCAAAGGGATTTTGTACCATCTAAACCAGGGGTGGGCAAACTACAGCCCAGGGACCACATCTGGCCCTTCAGACATTTTAATCCGGCCCTCGAGCTTCCGCCAGGGAGCAGGGTCCGGGGCTTGCCCCGCTCCGGTGCTCCAGCCTGGGAGTGGGGTTGGGGGCTTGCTCTGCGCATGACGTGGCTCCGCACGGCTCCCGGAAGCAGCAGTCTGTCCCCACTCTGGCTCCTACATGTAGGGGCAGCCAGGGGGCGCCACATGCTGCCCCCGCCCCAAGTGCCTCCCCCGTAGCTCCCATTAGCTGGGAACCACAGCCAATGGGAGCTACAGGGGTGGCACCCGTGGACGGGGCAGCACACAGAGCTGCCTGGCCGTGCCTCCACGTAGGAGATGGAGGGGGGACATGCCGCTGCTTCTGGGAGCTGCTTGAGGTAAGTGCCACCCGGAGCCTGTATCCCTGACCCCCTCCTGTGCCCCAACGTCCTGCCCCAGCCCTAATCCCCCCTTCCGTCCTCCAAACCCCTCAGTCCCAGTCTGGAGCACCCTCCTGCACCCCAAACCTCTCATCCCACCCCAGAGCTCATTTCAGGCTGGGCAATGGAGGAGAATCCCAGATCTAACTGAAGTTGCTCTGAGAATTTAGGGAGGTGGATGGAATTACCCAGGTTAGAATTTGGCTGGGTCAAACATCCCAACTCTTAGAGAAGTTCTACTGGGTCTTTGCAGGCCCTCAGTTTTACATTTCAGCGGAGAGGTGTCCCTTCCAACAGGCAGCACCCCTTGCCACCACACTGTGTCCTGAGAACAAAGCGCCCCCCTACTGGTCACTCCCCTTTCTCTGCAGCATCAAGCCTGGCTCCCGCCTAACTATGAGCCCTGCAGATGCCAGACTCACCTTTCAGAGCAGAGGAGAAGCAGAAAACGTCAAAGTAGTGCAGGTTCTTGTGGCGCTCGCCATAGCTCCGAATGCCAGGGGCCAGCCTCTTGCCGCCACAGGGCTCCCGGGGCAGGGAGATGGGGTACTGCACTGTCCCATCCAGCAGCCAGCCGGCGTTGCACCAGTCTAGCCCCTCCTCCCAGGACTTGAAGAGCTGCTCAAAGGACGCGATCACAGCGTCCTGCTCCTCACAAGCTTTCTTGGCTTCATGGAAGTTGAGTCGATAGCGGCCGTGGTGAGGCTGGTATGGGAAAACCACCCCTGGAGGGAAAGAGAGAGGGATTGGCTGAGTCACAGAGCCCCTGTGAAGGGTAGCCCCCTCTGGCTATGCCCTCAACCTGACACACACCCCTGAGATGGACGGTACAGATCTCCACCGACATACCCAGTATGAGGCTCCCAGCAAGCAGAGGGTGTTAGACCAGCACCCTGCCCCCTCCCAGGCTCATGCCTCCAAACTCACTGGAGCGAGGCCTAGGCACAGATGAACCCCAAACTGTGCTGGGGTTCAGAGACGTCCCAGAAGGGTCTCCAAAGCCCCTTGTGAGAACAGCCTCTCTCCTGGGGTTTCACTCATGGGATCATCCAGGAAAGAAAGGCCCCTGAGTGCCCAGGATCTCATCTGAGTTCAGCACAGCCCGTCTTCTTGGAATCAAGTGGCCAGTCCAAAGACCAAAGGGACTGGCAGCATCAGCCCAAAGGGACAATGACACATGTCAATGGTGACACCTGGTGGCCAGAGTGAGGCATGATCACTGCGTGCTCAGAGTTAATTGAGAGAGCTTTGAAGGCCGGTGTGAGTAGCCAGCGAACTTGCCCCCACTCAAAGCCTTCGTCCTCCAAATAGCTGGAAGGCGGCTTGGTACAAGTCCCTCTGCTGCAGAGCGAGTGGGTGGCACTGGGTCAGGAACACAACAAGGTGGCAGGAAATGGGACATTTCCCACCATTCTGGGTGGGTGTGAGTCTGGGACCATGATACGGAGCTGGGGTCTGAGCCTATGGAGAAGGAGAACATCCTAGGGGGTGACTTTCCATCTGGATCATAGAGCCACAGGCGGGATATTTTACCCCCTTCTTAGTCTCTTTCTCCAGCACCAATTCCCTGTGCATTGTGCCCTGCGCTGCACAGATTCAGCAATGAGAAATTAGGCCGGGTGTGTGTGTGTGTGTGTGGAGGGGACACACATGTGTTCTGTGGTCTGATGCCCCCTCCTTCCACCTGTGAGAGCTACCACCTTAAAAAAACCCACTACAGTATGGCATAGCGACAGGCCCCCAGTCCTGCAGCAACACAAATGGATGTCACACCGCGCCCCCGGGGTTGGAGGTCACTGTTAGCAAGACTTGACCGTGGAGCCTTTGGGTCTTTAAACAGCCACCTCTTCTACTTGGGGTAAAACACCCAGCTTTGTTAGCACAAAGCCAGCAGCAGACTCCTATACCCAGCCTCCACTAGGGGGAGCCACACTGAGTGGCTGTAGGTTACAGGTGCACTTCATAATGCGCCCGTCGTGCGAGTGTCGGCTGCACTGGATGGAGGATGAGCCACAGAAGTCTAGTGCAGTGTTATTTGCATGCTGCAGTAGTACTGTACCTAAGGGCCCCAGTCAAAGATCAGAGCCCCACTGTGCTCGGTGCTGTACAAACAAGGAATAAGAAGACAGCCCTTCTTTCTCCCTGCCCCAAGGAGCTCCTGCGAGTCTAACCTGCCATAACGCAAGTGCAAGGTGATGGCACGTGGCAATAACACTACAGGGATACCGATCTGGGTGGGCAGGGCCATAGGATTTGGTGGCAATTTTTATGAGGAAGGGGCTCCTTTCTTCACTCTCACTCACCCATCTGTGGGGGAGCTTCTTCCTGAACCTCTGTGTCGTGGCACACGTATAACCCCAGTGTTGGCTGGGCATGGGAGTGACCCAGCAAGGGGCAGCCGCAGAAGGACCCAGAACCTATGCTGATCCCACTCAGGAGCCTCAAAGGGGACAGCTTCTTGGATGCCTGTTACTGTCCCCAGGGGCTGTAACCTCTGTGTGAGGGGGAGTTGCCCCATCTGTTCCCCTGCCCCCTCTCCCCCACCCCCCCATGGCACTGGACGCCGGCCCACTCACCTCGCAGCTCCAGCTCCACAATGCCACTCTCGTCCTCCAGCCCGTCGATCACCTCGCAGCGGTACTTGCCGTAGTCCTGCAGGCGCAGGTCACTGATCACCAGGGACGCCTCCTGCTCGCCCCGCTGGCGCAGGTGCACGCGGCCCCGGAACTCGCCGAAGCTGCGGTGCTTGAGCCCGATGGCCACCAGCACGTCCCGCTCCTTGGTGTTGTCCTCCCGCAGCTTGGACCACTTGATGCGGATCTTGCGCGGCGTCTCCAGCTTGGGCTCATAGTGGTAGCGGCAGGGCAGCGTGACGTTGGCGCCGCGGTAGGTGAAGATGGCGTCTTCCGGGGTCTCCACCACCAGCTTCACGCCATTGAAGTGAACTGGTGGGGGAAAGAGGGAAAAGGGGGAATGAGCACTGCCAGGGGACCCCATCCCTCCAGGACTCATCTGCAGCCCACAGGGAGTGGATTCCCCATGTATGCTACGAGGGGGCAGCCTACCCCACAGGCATCCCCACTAAGGGGTTCTAAGGCAGTTACTGTGCAGCAGGGCAGCCAAGCACCCACCAGCGGCCGCAGGGCACCTGGGAAGAGCTCAGGGCCGGCTCCGGGGACCAGCTTAACAAGCAGGTGCTTGGGGCGGCCAAGGGAGAGGGGCGGCACCTGCGACAATTCAGGGGCGGCAGGTCCCTCACTCCCTCTAGGAGCAAAGGACCTGCCGCTGAACTGCCGCCACCGATCGTGGCTTTTTTTTTTTTTTTTTGCTGGGGGCGGCAGAAATGCTGGAGCCGGGCCTGGAAGAGCTAGACGTGTATAGGGAGGGGAGGAGGGAGCAATCTGCCCTGCTCTGAGCACGGTAACTCCTGCAACTGACCACACCATTGATTGACACCAATCTGGCCCTGTGAGCCCCACCTCCTGCACTCTTGTTCCTACCCCCCTTGTACTCTGCTCCTTCCCTCACACTATCTACCGCCTCCTCCTGCACTCGCTCACCACCACCTGCCGCCATTCATCATCACTTCCTCCCTCGGCGCTCACCCTCCCGGCGTATGGAGGAGAGGGGTGGAGAGAAAGGGAGCCAGGTGGCATCAGGTGCTGCTGGGGTTAGAGGGAATCCAGTGCCCAGCAGAGGGCAACTTCCCTATGGAGCAGCAGCTATCTGAGCCCAGTACCCACCAGCTGCACAAGCATGTGAACCTGAGATCCCCTGGGAGGGAGAAGACTTGTTCAGGGTGGAACAAGGTGAGAGCCCTGGATGGGATATTTGGCCTGCATCTCAGGAAGCCCTTTCGGACAGCAAACCCCCGTTAGGCTGAGCCGTCATCTCACAAGGGAAGGGGTGTGAGTCGCTGGGGCCGCTTGCAACCGGAGGAGATGAATCTCCAGGGAATAGGCTGCAGGGCCCAATCCAGCCCCAGCCCTATGGGCAAGAGGGTGGACCCAACTGGATGGGAGCTCCTCAGCTGCTCCACCTCCACCAAGAGGAGGGAACCCAGGGGGAGTGAGACGGAGGAATGGGGCAGAGGACCCCATCAGACCAGGTTCAAATCAGTTCCATTCTATTCCCCCAGGGATCTTCCAACTGGGGCGAGAGCCAGTCCTGGCATCCTGGCAGGGCAGAGGAGGGCAAGAGGAGATTTCCAGGGAAGGTGACGGGGGAAACTCCCCTACGTTCCACCCGGAGGAGGGGTGCTTTATGGGAGGGGGATGATACCAGCTGGCTGTGGGGAGTAACAGCCCCAACATGCCTGGTGTGAGCCTGGCAACAGTCATCCTCTTCCTCTGAATTACCCACCCGAAGTTAGGAGGCAAAGACCCTCCACTCGCACCCACATCCTCTGCCCCGCAACTGCCCCAGCCTCCTTCTCAACAGCTCCCACCCCCACCTCACCCCGATCTACGCCTACTGGCAACACTCCCGTCTTTCACACCCACGTGCCTGCTGCCTCAGGAACTGGGGAAGGGCAGTGGGTGAGCGATGCCTTCGGCCCTGCCCTCCCCACCACACGCACCTTCGCCGTTGCCATTGCCGTTGCCCTTGTCGTTCATGACGTGGTCGTAGTAGAAGCCGTTGTAGAAGGGGAGCCCACAGCAGCCTCTGCCCAGCTGCAGCAGCATCACAACCAGAGACAGCAGCAGCATTGCTCCGGGGAGGCGGAGGAACACCTGCCTGTCCAAGAGAACGAGGAGGCTGTGTCAGTGCACAGGGGGTGTCTCCCCATCAGCCCAGCCCCTGCTAGTTCACCTGCGGCTTTGCACAAGCGAGTCGTTCTGTGTGCACTTCTCGCGTACTCGCCTGTGCACACGCACGGGAGAGAATTGACATATGCACAAGTCAGTTTGCACCCACCACTGGGCCTGTCGCTAGTGCACACACACCGTACAGGCTGCCTGCACATGCACCGTTTGAAAATACTCCTCTACTGTTTGAAGTATATCCTGCTGGGAGAGGCTAGGCCTCGTATAGCAGGGAGCTATTTCACAGCCAGAGCTCCGACTGCCATCCCCCACAGTGCCTGCTTAGGGTTGCCAACTTTCTACTTGCACAAAACCCGAACACCCTAGGCCTGCCCCTTCCCCAAAACCCCGCCCCCACCCACTACATTCCCACTCCCTCAGTGGCTCACTCTTCCCCACCCTCACTCACTTTCACAGGGCTGGGGCAGGGAGTTGGGGTGCGGGAGGGTGTGGGCTTTGGGTGGGGCCACAAATGAGGGGTTCAGGGTGCAGGAGGCGGCTCTGGGTTCTGGCTGGGGGTGGGGTCTCTGAATGGGGGTGCAGGCTCTGGGGTGGGGCCAGGGATGAGGGGGGGTTGGGGTGCATGAGGGGGCTCCAGGCTGGGGGAGTGGGGCTGGGGATGAGGGGCGTTGGGGTGCATGAGGGGGCTCCAGGCTGGGGGGATGTGGCTGAGGGATTTGGAGTGCAGGAGGGGGCTGTGGGTTGAGGCAGGGGTTTGAGGTTTGGGAGGGGATATGGGCTCTGGGCTGGGGGTGCAGGTTCTGGGGGGGGGCTGGGGATGAGGGGTTTAGGGTGTGGGATGGGAGGGCTGGGGCACGGGGTTGGGGCTAGGGGTTGGGGCGTGGGCTTACCTCGGGCGGCTCCCGGTCAGCGGCACAGCGGAGCTAAGGCAAGCTAGTCCCTACCTGTCCTGGCTCCGCGCTTCGCCCTGGAAGCCATCAGCAGGCCCTGCTCCTCGGTTGGGGGTCCAGGAGGCTCTGCACAGTGCTCTCACCCACAGGCACCACCCCCGCTGGCCCCATTGGCCGAGGTTCCCGGCCAATGGGAGTGTGGAGCCAGTGCTCAGGAAGGGGGCAGCACATGGAGCCTCCTGCCCCCAAGCCTAGGAGCCGGACCTACTGGCTGCTTCTGGGGCGCAGCGCGGAGCCAGGACCAATAGGGACTATCCTGCTTTAGCCTCGCAGCACCGCCGACCGGAATTTTAACGGCCCAGTCGGCAGTGCTGACCGGAGCCACCAAGGTCCCTTTTTGACCGGGCATTCTGGTCGAAAACTGGATGCCTGGCAACCCTATGCCTGCTGCAGGGGCTCCCCACCACCAGCGCTCCCACCAGGGCCGGCTCTAACTTTTTTGCCGCCACAAGCAGCAAAAAAAAGCGCCGCCCCGTCGTAACACCCCCCCACCGAGTGCCGCGCCGCCAACCCCCCCCCACCGAGCGCCGTGCCGCCGAACACCCCCCGCCCCTTGCCACGCTGCTCGAACCCCCCCCCCCCGCTGAGTGCCGCCGAACAGCCCGCGCCGAGCACCACACCACGTGAAC